AAAATCATCGCTATACTATTTAAAGGACCCAGGAGTCAGGATGTCGTGGTTTCGGAGCAACCTTTTGCGTATTCGAGAGTTCAAGTCGGATCGTAGCAGAGTCGGTTTGGGGTGAGTACTCTGTTCCTGCATGGTTGTGACCTGACAATCACAGTGACTACATGCGTAAATCCTAGACCCACTAAAACCTGAAGCGTATAAGCCCGACCGATGTGTAAATGAGTCGCACAACCTTGTAAGGCCCAGCGTCTGCAGCAGTCTGCACCCTGGGCTTCTTCGGAGGCGGAAGAGCATCTTCGCCATTGATATATCCACGGAGCTCCTAGCAATCGGGGCCCCCATGTCCCGAGATTGTGTGTATCAGCACATGCACAGACAACACAGATTCAAAGCTTCAACTATCCTCAATGCGGAGCTGGAGCTGCTCGGCGGTCGGGGTCGATGCCATAAGTCCAGGGCACCCCAAAGTACAATTAGCACAAAAGTCTCGAGCCCAGAATCCCTTGTTTCCCGAAGCATACTTATAATCTGCCTGCTGCTGGTCAAGCTGCAAAGTCGCTGAACTTTTTGTGCCCGACAAAACTTGGATGCACCGTAGCTCTGCAAGGCTCTACGGTGCTGCATTGTGCTCCTGCACCACTCCATGTTCAATTTTTGTAGTGCCCAAACTCACCCAGCACAGTAGCACCTCTGCATTCCTCGGATAAGCTCACTTTTGCTGGAGCAGCCAACAAAACACTGAGGACGAGTGGCTCCGGGTGTGGCTTCATCGGTGCATTCTGCAAGATGTCGCGGATCTGATTCCTGGGTTTCAGCTTCGGGGCTTGGCTTCGGGCGTTTTTTTTTGTAAGCTTGAGGGTTGATTTCGGAGCTTGTATAGGCTTCTGCAGTCTGAAGAATGATGTCGGGTGCTGGGTTTCGGGCCGGTCTTACAATCATGCAGTTCTATTAGGGATCTATAAAGATTCAAAGTTGCTGGTATCTCGATCTACAGAGATTCACTGGATGTTTGAAGAGAGACACACCTATGGTCCAAGTATATATAAACTACACAGGACCCTTTTACCCCACACCCTATCCTCATGCAACCACCCAGATGATCCTAAGTATCTACATCCAAACCTTATAGACGTTTAATTCCTCTGGAGGGCCTCTGTGGTTTATCCTAGGAGGTCTTACCTGTCCAGCAGCCCTGGGTTCGAACAGCACGACAAGAAGGCCGATTAGGCCTATATAGGATCGATAGCATAGGATATCCGTATATATGTATATAACTGTATATAT